TATATATATATATATATATGTGTGTGTGTGTGTGTGTGTGTGTGTGTGTGTCTTTTCATTACACTTGTCCTAATTGCATTGGTTGCACGCAAGAGCTTATTGCACTAATGTTGATGTTGATTTTTTTGATTTTACACTGAGATTTCTGATCGTATACGAAGTTATTCGAAGCCTATATCATGTTTTTGAACAAAATAGTTCAAATTCTTTTGCTCTGGTAGGCCTCGACATCCGATGCGTTTTTGGCTCCACTGTGCATTGACGATCGAGGCAAAAATGTTCATTCAGAGACATGTGGACACGTGATGGGACTCTTTTGTAGCTAATGTGACATTTTGTACTATAATAATTTCTGTTGGTTAAAAGTAATCTATGTGCTGAAATACAACTTAATTAATTGCATGCTTTTACTTGTATTACAAAATATGAAAAAATAAATTGAACTCCTAATTCAACATTTCACATCAATTTATGTCCTAATTTTAGTAAAAATAAAAGAAACTAAAATAAAATAAAAATAGCATTTCTCCATTGACTCTTAGGGCCTTATGCGTCCGTGCAAACCTCGCCAAAAACTGTAGATCCTCGTCCCTTCTTTTCTGTGTTTTCTTCTGCACGTCAATTACTACCAGCACTGGTCCGTCTCCCAATTACGACAAGTAGTATCACCAGAGGTCGAAATGCACGTAACAGAATAGGAGCCAGAGATTCGGTGTGGCCGGAAAATCCTCCGGTCATAATCAGCACGCTTCTCCACATCAGATAGGACGGAGTAAGCCGCATGAATTCTCATTAACTCTTCAACGGAGACCGCCTTCTCATCAGCGATAGCCACATCAGGGTGGCAAATCCTTGCTAGCTTTCGATATGCATCTTTGATCTCCTGGCTTGAAGAGCCCATTGGAACACCAAGAACTTCGTAAAACGACTTCGGAGATCTACTGTGCGGTGCTTCCATCTTGGTGGAAGGGAAGATACGAGGTTGCCGGAATCCGATGGAAGAAGGAGCGAAAATGGAGGCTAAATAGGTAAGCATAGTATTGTTTTGTGGAACAGTAAGAGAAGGAATCTGAATCTTATTGAATAAATCTCCGTATCCCAGGTTGGGGACAGGGTTAAAAACAGGTTATTGGAGTTTTTAACCCTGTCCCCAACCCGGGACAAAGGGAACATCTCTCATTCTGATTTGTAGTTTTTGAAATCAAAAGGGTGGCGGTATATATAGTAGACATGACTCACCTATTTTTAACCCTATCCCCAACCCGAAACAGGGAGCATCTCTCAATCTGATTTGTAGTTTTTGAAATCAAAAGGGTGGCGGTATATATAGTAGGAATTTGAGTTGTTAATTTCTCGGTCAATCCGGTACATAACGCGCCGCAGTGTGCTAGCCACTTTCCAAAATAAAATATTAGCCATACCAAATAAAGTTTCCATGTCAAAATTGTTAGCCATAATCAGTGGATGTGTTAAAGAAATAAAACTTCAACTAATGAATAAAATGGCCCAGGTTCACACCTCTGCCTCTTGGATGTTTCCTCACAAATATTAAAATTTAAAACCTTAATTTATCGTAACAATAGAAGAAATTTTTTCCCATACTTTGATTATTGAAAATCTAACAGGTTTAAGATGATTAGTTAGTAATTACCATCAAATCAATAAATCATAAATTCAAAATACATCATATTTTTAAATGACAACTTGAACTCCAAACACCTTGTTTTCCCTGGCTCTTCTTTTATCAGCATAAATATTTTCGGTTCATTTCCTTCACTTTGATACTTTCACATAACAGGGCTCATTGGAAGGTGATTTTATCTAGGGAAAATTGCAGTCACAGTACCAAATCTTTCACTTTCTATGCATACTTGACCCAAATCTTTAATTTGTAACACTCACGGTACCAAACCTTTAAAAAACTCGTATCTGGAATTCAAATTAACAGAAATCCTTATTTGATCAAAAATCAAAAATCTAACCAAATATTGACTAATTTTTAAAGGACAAAAGGGTAACTCCACATTTTCATATAAAAACTAAAATAAAAGAACCAAATAAAAAAAATAAAAATAAAAACAATCACTGTTCATCTTCTCCACTTACACCTTGAAACCAAAACTCACCAAAATCGCCGGTACCCACCAAAACTTCACTTACCAAGCATCACGGCCACCAAAATTGCCAACAAGTATCTATGTTAAGCAACCATCTTCTCTATTGAATCCATATCCTTAGCTTCTGAGACAGTGTGTAGCCTTAGATTTTCAACGTCTTCACAAAAGAGATTAAAACATCCAAGCCGAAACATCAATAAATTGGAAGTCATGCAAATGATAGTTGAGAAGATTTAAGAGGATGATAATGAAGATATCTACTTACTCTGCTGCTCTAAAAATTTCTTTGATAGTTAAAGAGTTGTCCCTTGAACAAAACTCAGATAGCTGGTATGCAGCAAACCAAAACCCCATCCACCAAGCATTACCGTCACCAAAACTGTTGGCAATACCACCGATGATTGTATTTATTATTCTCCCAAAACAAGAAATAACAATAAATCAATTTATCTTGTGTCACTAAGCAATTGAAATTGAAATTTGATCCAAAATCCAATTTTCCCAATTTGACGTATGTATTGTATAGCCTGTACATTTTAATCTGTGACTTGTCACCACTGCCCAAAGATATGTAAGTTTGATTTGTGACTAGATTAGACCAGTTAAAGTTGATACGTAACCCGTTTACGCTGATTTATTGTCATATGATATGACATGTGACCTCTGATCTAAGTTGATACGTAACCCGTTTACGCTGATTTATAATCATATGATATGACATGTGACCTCTGATCTAGTATATGTGACCTGTGCAAATTAAAATGTGACTAGTAGAATCGCCGCCACCACTTCATCCCTACTTGCACAATCACCACCACCAAAACTCTAGATCCAAAATCTAATTTACCCAATACCTAAAATCCTAAATCTACCACAACCTTTATCACCACCACCGCATCACTACCTATACCATCACCATCCACACAACGAATCTAGTCAGAAAAACAAAAACCCACCACACACAGCAAATTTGGTCGGAAAAAAAAGGTCAACCACATGGTGGTACCATCAGTAGATAGATGATGGGGAGAAAGAGAGGGTGGAGATTCCGATAAAAAGAAAGGGTGGGGGGAGAAAGAGAGAAGCGATAGAGTGGAGATATATGAAATGAAATTAGGGTGTGGGGTTGAGCTGAGGTGTGCGTGGGTATATTTTAATTTAATTCAATTAATATATTTAACAGATGAATTATTATCTGATTTTTTTAAGGAAAGAGCTCTTTGTTAATTTTGAAATGTTGTCTCCAAACACAGCTCTACCTGTAATTTCCACCAATTTTGGTAATAGGCCCATGAGATCTTATTCAAAAAGAAAGATATCAAATATCTAGAGTTTCTTTTTATATATTAGATGGATGATTCGGTCCGTAGGGTGATTGGAAAACAATTCAATGAATTATTGTTATGTGTTCTGAATGAAAATGATACTTAATTAGTCCAATACCACTTTGTTGAAAAAAATAAGAGATTATAGTCACAATATAAAGTAAAGATCTCAAAAATATAAGAACAATGTAGTTGCAGAGTAAATGAGATTTTATTAAAATAAAGAGAAAGAATAAAAGGATTTGTGTTTACAATATTTTTAAATTGTCTCAAAAATACAAGAACAATTTTTCTAACAACCCAGTGTCTATCATAAATTATCTACCTATAGAAAGATAGGAGGTGTATTTAATTAGGATTTTTGAAGATTTTGATAAACTTTTCTAAGTGATAATTTCTGTAAATTTCATGAACATTTTTGTAGATTTATAAGGAATTAGTGGTAGTTTTTTTTTTTTTTATAGACTTTCAATTTTTACTTTTATAGACTTTTGTTGAATTCAAAAGATTTTTGAAAACTTTCATTTGAAATAGAATTCAAGTGAATCTAGTACACTGATGTGAAACAATTTCCTTTCTCTTTCCTATAAAATAAGAAGTTATTTTAAAAAGAATAAAAATTTAAGACCATAATTAAATAAATAATAATCAAAATTATATATATAAAATAAAAATTAATATTTAATATTATTAATATAATAAACCTTTAAAAATAAGTACAAAGTCAATATATTTAATTATAAAATTGTCATGTAAATTTTAATTAAATATAAAATAGATATTTTTCACCAAAAAAGAATGAATGAAAAAAAGTTATAAAAATTCAATATAATTATTTTTTATAGAAAATAGAGATAAACAATAATAGAAACAAATATAATCTATAGAAAAAAATAATTTATTCATAAGTTCATAAAAGGAAAAAGGAAAGAGAAATATTATAAAAAATACAAATCAATTATTTTATTTTATTTTATTTTATTTTTTGTGAAAGTCTTCCAAAATCTTGTAATAATAAGAGACAACTTTTGAGATTTTATATGAGTACTTTTTGTTTAAAAGTTAGTACCCCAGAGATTTTTTAAAAAGTCTCCAAAAGTCATTAAAATTTGATGCCCCAAAACTTATAGAGACTTCTAAAAAGTTTTAATTTAATACACCGTGACTTTCAAAGAAATGGAAATTACAACACCAGACCCTACTTTTAAAGATCTGTGTTCTAAATTCAAATATAATGTTTGCCTTTTCATAAATTAGATATTTCAGTCGAAACCCTAATACATTTACCCAAACCATAAAAAGCATTTCTCCTCCTCTCCCTCATCTCTTCTCAGTCTCTATTCTTCTTCTTCTTCTCTCTCTCTCCCTTCCCTCATCTGGTACTAGAACCATCCTCGTCGGCGGTGGCAAGGCACAGTGGTGCATTGCTGAGGGAGCGCTGTGTTGCCAAAACAATAATCTTCACTACAGACGCCGCGGTGAGGCAGTGCTACTGCTACCTAAATCTGCAATGCGCCTCATTTTTTTAAGAGTTTTTTTTTATTCGATCTATTGTGCAGTGGTCGACAATGGTGGTTGTGACGGGTGCTTTGTGTGTAGGGATGACATAGGTCATGCAATTTGGTTTAGTTGCCGGATATCATAGCTGAAGAAGAGAATAGGTGGTTGTAGTTGGTGGTGGTGGCGACGGCGACGAAGACGAAGACGACGGTGGCGGTGACGAAGTAGGACGAACTATGTTGTGGTTGCAGTGGTAGTGTTACATGAGGTGATGGTGGTGGAACAAGCATTGGTTTGGTTTTGGAATATTAGAATGGCAATGGTGTAGGTGGTTTGGTGGTGGTGGTGGTGGTGCTTTTGTTGGTGGTTGGGTAACGTTGCGACGATTTTTTTGATGGTTGGGCGACTATTGTGGTTTTGCGAGGTCTGGTGGTAGTACTGGTGGTTGTCATGGCGATGGTGGTGAGTGGGATGAGATGGGGTTGAATGTTTGTTGCAAATTATTTGGTTGATTATAACCAATAATTGGCTAATTTGTAACATGTGACATAAATATTGTGATTGTAATTCACAATTGATTTAGTTATGACCAAAAAATTAATTGTAACAAATTAATATAATAATTTGCAATGAATAAATGAGTTGTAATCAATAGAAATTTTGATTTTGTAACTGATGAATAATCTGTGATCTATAAAAAAAAATTATTTGTGACCGATAAATAACTTATGATTTATAAAATAATTTATTTGTGACCAATAAATAATTTATGATCTATAAAATTTTTGATTTGTGACTGAAAAATAAATTGTGACCAATGATTTGATAAGTTGTGATCGAAAATTAATTTGTAATCAAGTAATTCATAAAATTGTGATCAAATTGCATAGAATCGTGACTTTAATATATCTAATGAATAAAATATATTTTTAATAAAATAATTTATAAATAAATTTTAAAAAATTATTTTTGAAATTTGAAATATTTATTCTTAGTTTTAAAATGAATGATACTTAATTTCTTAGTTATGAAATTTTCCCCTTAAAGAATCTCAAAAAGACTACATTAAATACCGTAAAAGTTGTTAAAAATCTCAGTTGAATAAAACCTCCTAAATATCGTAATTGCTAAAATTGGATCCCATGTGGAGGGTTATCTAAACAAACTTCTGGCCTATAAAATTTTTGATTTGTCACTGAAAAATAAGTTGTGATCAATAATTTAATAAGTTGTGACCAAAAATTTTTTGTAAACAGATAATTCATAAATTGTGACCAAAGTGCATAGAATTGTGACATTAATATATCTAATTAATAAAATATATGTTCAATAAATAAATTTATAAATAAATTTTTTAAAAAATGATTTTTGAAATCTGAAACATTTATTCTTAATTTTGAAATAAATGATATTTAACTTCTTATTTATGAAATTTTCCCCTTAAAGAATCTCAAAAAGACTAGATTTAATACCCCAAAAGTTATTAAACCCCCGTTTGGTACCCATTTTTTTCAAAATATATTTTTCTCTTTCTTCTTTTCAATCACACATTCTTTATTAAAATAATATTACACGTAAATAAAAAAAATCCTTATTTTTTAACCACACACTTCCCATCAAGTTACTATTCTAAAATGCATTTTAAAATAAAAATGACTATCAAACACCCCCTAAATGTCTTATTGAATACAAACTCCTAAATATAGTAATTGTTAAAATTGGATCCCATCTGGAGGATTATCCAAACAAACTTCATTGCTTGATCATCCTATAAAGATAATTAAACTGTGTGTTATTTTATAAACCGAATTTGAATTTTAGAAGCACTTACTCATTACTAAAAAAAAAAAAAAAAAAAAAAATCCTTTTCATTCTATAGCCCACATCAAATTAACTTGGCCCCCATTATTTGGCTTTATAATGGGGGAAATAGTTTTTTTTTTTTTTTTTTTTTTTTGAAAAATTGATGGTTTTAAAAAAAGAAAAAAAAAAAAAAAAAATCCTTTTCATTCTATAGCCCACATCAAATTAACTTGGCCCCCATTATTTGGCTTTATAATGGGGGAAATAGTTTTTTTTTTTTTTTTTTTTTTTTGGAAAAATGCATGGTTGTAAAAGAATGATTTTTTTTTTTTTACGTATAATATTATTTTATTAAAGTTTGTGTAGTTAAAAATAGAAAAGAAAAAATTAAATTAAATTGAAGAGTTTTGATGAGAGCTTAAATTAGTCCGCCCAATGCCCAATTGCACAATTAAACCCAAAGTCTATGCCCATAACCCATCCCACAAAGTCTACCACATATACTAGCCAACTATGATAGCTCCTGTCGTATAGCAGTAGCACCCATCGGAATTCCAAGAACTTCGTAAAAGGATGTCAGAGATCTCAGCCATGGGGCGCCAGAATATTTTGCCGAACGGAAAACTAATGAAGCATAGTAGCAATCAGTGGAGTATGTATAAATAGAAGAGACATGTTTATCCGTTACTTTTGGGCTGACTCATCCAATTGCTTATCCCATTTGAATTAGGTCAATTAGTATTGTCGTGCCCAAAATATCCTTTTATTTTCAAAATGATAACAGATCGTGTGTTTCAACTTACAAAAGTCGTGCAAATGAAACGTTAAATTCTTAAATATTTTTCACGCCCCACGAACAAGAGAAATGTTTAGAAACAAAATTACTACATAAACATAAGTTTTATCAATTTTTAAGCTTACTCGAGTATGCTTAGTGATAGTGGCAAAAAGAAGTTGATAAAGAAGGTGTTGGAATAATTCTAACGTGGGCTTCTCATTTGATTGTTTATTTACGCGTTAGATGCATGACAAAATGACTCATAATGATATTTATGATTTGACCAAATTTATGAAGTGATCAATTAGACCTTTTATACAGCTTACGGATAGTATCTAATATGATGTAGTAAGTTTAAGTATGTAAGCTAGAAATATATGAAAACCCTAATTAGAGTTTAAGTTGTAATGTAACGGCTTGATAATTTTTTATATAATGGTTAGCTCCTCTCTCCTCTCCATATTATTTTTATTAACTTGCCTCATTAACGGCTAATACTTTGTGAGGATCAAGGAATGAAATATTTAGTTGATATTATTGACATCAACGATGACTTCCATAGTTATAAATTTGATTTATTAATTTATTATTATGTGATTTTCGATTCTTAGCATGATTGTAATTAAATTCAATAATTGGTATCAGAGTCTAATGTTAAGATCAAAATCCTTTATAGAAATATTTATAATTCAACTTTTGACATCCACGGTAA